GAAATGTTCGTATTGGATTATGTACTAATGGCTTCAACCCTTTCGGCATGAAAACACAATATTCATGTTGGCCAACTTCAAGATATGTCCTCCTGAATTGTGATGAGGTTACTCCATTTGTGAGGTATAAGTTCCAAAACTCATGTTTGCATAAAGTTGTATCTAATGTATTATTACACTTGTTGAATCTGGGGTGTTTTTGTAAGGATTCTTACATGAAAAATTAATCATTGATAATTAGAGTTGAAAAATTGATCATTGGCCATAAAAAAGTGGAAGAAAAATAGCTGAAAAAAATGGTTGAAAAAAGCTGGAAAAAGGGCTGTAAAAATGCTAATGAAAACAGAGGAAAAATCGGTGCAAAATGATGCTGAAAATGGGTTGAATCTGGTATGTTTTTGCTAGGATTTAGAGCTGAAAAACTAATCCTTGAAGATTAGATGTGAAAAACATATCCTTAGCTATGAAAAATTGGAAGAAAAAAGTTGAAAAAATGATTGAAAAAAGCTGGAGAAAAAAGAGAAAAACAGAGTTTTCTGTCATATCTGGTGAGGTCATTGCATATACGGTTAGCATAGTGCAAATACGGTGAGTTGAGTGTAAATACGGTAATTTCAGTTTTTTCTTTCAAAACCGGTATGCCCTGAGAAAAACTGGTAAGATCCTTACAAATACGGTATGAGCAATGCAAAAACGGTAAGGGGCTTGCATATACGGTAAGTCCTTACAAATCCGGTAAACACAATTTATACAAATCCGGTGACAGTGAATAAACTGGTAAGTATGTGCAAATACGGTATGAAGTATCAAACCCAGTAAGCTTAATTTTGTGCAAATTCTGTAGTCAGTGCCATTTCGGTAAGCTAAAATCTGGTAAGCAAAGTGTAAATCCGGTGAGCATAAAACCAAGTAAATCCGGTAAGGTTGATTAAATCCGGTTAGTTTATTCATTTTTGGAAAACTTTAAATCCGCTAAGTAAGAAAAAAAATCAATAAGTTGTGTGTAATACCGGTATGATCAATGTAAATCCGGTATTTTCAGAAAATAGAACAGCAGCTTCTTCTCAACAAAAAAATCAAAATCTGATGAAGAAAATAGACAGCTTCAAAAATTTGATGATGCAAGTAAAGAATTTCTTTGTATATGGAATTGCAACCATATGTGGTAGGATCAAATAGAAAACAAGAACTTCAAGCTTGCAA